ACCGTTCCACTAGCGTTTGCCTTCGCTTCTGCTCCGGGCGCCCTCTGCCCTGTGGTACGACCGCGAGGAGGAAACACCTGGAATCCAAGTCTCGGATGCTCACAGCGCGCCATTGCAGACGGGGCGCGCTACAACTGCTGGTTCTCACTGTAAGGCTTGAACAATATCTGAGCCTTGATCCCACTGATGAGATCTATGACGGGTATGATACCAAAGTACCTTTGCGCAGATCCCTCTTGCATCACGTCGCGTTACGCTCTCACATGCTATTGTAAACGATAGCTTTGGGTTGGAGGCATATAGCCCACCTGTGTGAAGTACAAAATTCCGTGCTCATCAACCAGATGCCCTACATTGAACCGGCTGCATAGATTAGACCACAGTGTGTGCCAGAGAAACTCTTACATCAACAGCACCTTCTCGTCACATCGCCACGACTAATTGCCAACGCTGTCAAACGCTGGCACAACTGCGCCAGAGGATTGCTTGGCTGTAATGGCCGGCACGATTTATCGAGCACGTCACATCATCCTGTGAGGGCCGACTTTGGCTCCTGGTGGCACATGGCCGAAGGGTCACGGCGGCATCTTGGACATTTGGCCAGAGAGTTCATGGCCTGTTTCGATGTGAAACGCCTGCCTGCAAAGTTGCAGAGATATCACACCGCCGGAAAGACTTGGGCCGAAAATGGATGCACATTTCGACAGCTTCCCTCATGTCCTGTGGTATGTCGCCAAGATAGCCGCTGGGGCAATACCAACCGGCGACTGCCTTGCAGGTTTGAGTCAATCAACCTCTGGCGGGCACCTGCTGGCTCGTTCAGACTACCTAATTACTACCTACAGCAACAGTGTTACAACATGCCGCAAAACTAGGCTCCAGCTTCAGAATCAAGACCTCAGAGGCACGTCCCGTCTCCGTGCTTAGCGTTTCCTGTGGCTGCGTAGATCAGGGACAATGAGAGTAATGATCCCGAATTGCCGCAACTTAACGCCGGTCATCTTGGCTCTCGAAATGCCCTCGAATCGGTAACGGCACGAGTCAGTACGAGTATTCCTTCGAGGGAATGGACCCGCCTGCTCTACTATTCGCCAACTCGCTGTATCCTACATGGATGGCATCTAACGACAGGAGACAGCTCAATAACCAGGTGCTCTCATATACTCTCTACTAATTCCTTCGCTGGCCTCGACCTTGCTCATGCCAGGGGACGCATCATACTACTCGTATGTAGCTGCATTACGACCATGGGTTTGCAGAGAGCTGTTGCACTGTCCACTCTACCGTACTGTACGTGTCTGTCAGACTAGAGCTTCAAGGTCAGGGTAGCCAACAAAGAGGCGCCCAAAACGCGGCCACCCTCTCACAAGCAGAATAGGATATGGCATCGTATGTCGCCGACAGCACTCCAACAAGTTCATGACCTGCCAATACTGGGGCGAACTCGCAAGGTAGTACCACTACTGCGACGAAGTGTGCAGTCCTACTTACATGCTACTTATGCGAAGTGCAATCGCCGCACTTCAAGATCCGACGGGGGTTTTCAGCTCCAAGCCAGCTGCTGGAAGGATGCCAGCCGACGATCCTACTCCTAGAGGAGCAGATGCCCTGGGCAATCACTTGTCACAAGCATTATCAATCCCATGGTAGTATGCTGCTGGCTCTAAAAAAACCCCACGGGACATATCGCCCAGGCGGTGGAAGAAAACCATCAGACTGGCTGACACACTGTAAGTCATTCTTTTATTGCTACTAAAACTCCCATGTTGATAAAATAGAAGATCCTGTATCTTCTGCTACTCTCGGTTTGTACCTATCGGCTTGCTATATGTTAAGATTTATAGCAGATATATAGATGGTCTCCTTCTTCTTTCCGCCGCATGCTAGGGCAACATTTACCCACATTTACTGATTCAAAGAACAGATCTTGAGACAGAAGAGTGATCAATGGGAAAGGCAAGCATCCATCTCGATACGGATGTCCTTCGACTGACGCTGGGTCGAGGAGACTGTCTGCGGAATCTTGCCTCCCACTGGTCGGCCCAAAGGCTAACTTTGCCCTGAGGCTAGTTACAACTAGTAGTGACGACGTCACGGTGCGCGGAAGAAGGATTAGGGTGAGCACGCGAGTGCGTTGTTGGCTCCCAAACCGATGGCCAAGTGAGCAACTGCAACCTGCCCTGCTGGAGTTGCACCTGTGCTGGGTACGAACGAACAAGAGACTGGACGAGACACGAAGGACAGAAACAAGTGGGGGGTTTCGGTTGATGAGGGGGGGCGTGTGCGGTTGGTTGACGATTCCCGGCTTTAAATGCTGGGTGTGTGGGTTTTAGCGAGGCTAAATATAAGACGGCGGCTTCTGCAAGCGCGCAGCAGACCAGGGAAAGGGAGAGAGGGGGGGGATGGGAAGAGGGAGGGAGCATCGGCCCGGAAGAGAGGGAAAAAAAGGCAATCGCTTCCTCACCCTCTTTGGAGGACTGGAGGGGCTGGAATTGGCATTTTCTTCGTGATTTGCGCAAGCAAGCGGCCGGGCTGGCCCTTTCTGCTTAAGGGGGGGGAGACGAAGAAAAACAAGAGGAGCCAACACCGGGGAGCGACCCCTTGGTTGAATCGGGTAAACATTGCCGAAATCGTGCAGCGCCGGCCAGCTTCGCCCAACAGCGTCGAGGTGCTCACTTGGACGAATGAGTGTTAGCTGAGCCCATCCTACGAAGTGCTTCCAGTGAGTGAGTACAGTAAGGGGTATCTTGGGCTTGGGTTACGCTGACTCAGATAGTCAAGTCTACAGATGTTGGACCTGAGTCTGTCTGGCTGCCCAAATACGCACATTGCCGTCAGACTTACCTCGAGTCATTACGACTACCTAGATGTGGAACGAAAGATTGATACGCTGCACCTAATCTTTGATATCTTGAGACGGTGTATCGCAGACGAAGCTTCATCCAAGTTCAGGGGTCCTACGGCATACACTCTTTCCTTGGCCAATCACAGCAGAGCATGTCACTGTTCCTGATCCCGACAAAGCTCGCCTGCGCCGTTCCTGCCATTGCGGAGTGCATATTCGAAGGCATGTCGCATTCATCTTCCTCTGAATGACTTCAGGCCCAAAAATAAACCTTCGCCACGCAGCCATGGTCGAATCTGCTTTCTTTCCTGAAGAATGCAGTCCACATAGCAGGGAAACGAAACAAAGAACAGCAGTCAGTCAGTCAGTCAGATTCGTCTCGCTCTCATTTCCTTTCTCCACCCCCGCAACGCCTCGAACGCTTTCACCCAATGGTTTCCGCCCATCTAGCCGCTCACCTCCAAATAATAAGCGCCTGCGAACGCTTTCTAGAACGATTCTCGCTCCATTTTGGACCTCTTGCTCTTCAATGCGCCAGGTCCCTCGGGCTTCCTTTTCCATGCTTTTCCATCAACAGGGGCTTGCACGTCGAAAGAGACAAAGGCGAGGTAGCACTCTGGCTGCTATTTTTATCGCCCATGTTTCATGCAAGGCATCATCACACCTTGGACCTTGCATACATATGTACATACATATTGCCGCCCCAGATCCCGGTTCCGAACGAACGACACCAAACGAGCGCCTCCTACCCGCCCAGGAACCGCTTCTCGCGATGGAGACAACCAAAACAGACCTCTTTTTGCTCCACAACTTCCCACGCCGAGAGTAACGACCCGAGACACGCAGTGCTGGGATGCCTGCCAGGCGGTAGCATACGCCTGCACTTGTTTCTATTTCTGTCCTTCTACACTCCCCTGCCCAATGTCTTCTTATACCAAAGAGGAAGCAACGAGAAGGTTCCCTGGGTCCTGCAGGTCTCCTCCCCTCCTACGACATGCGTTCCCAAGGTCTCCCCCCCCCCTGACTACATCTTGTTCCTGGATCGCCATCCCACGCTCGCGGTAACCCCCGAGCACCTTGCTACTTATGACCGCTTGTTTGCTGGATTGCATCGTACACGCCCCTCCATCACTCTCTCTTGCCCCCCTCCCTCTCGTCCTTCCGTGGACTATACCAGATGCTAGCTCGTCAACGGCCCAGATGTTACAGCTATCTCGATCTTGGGATTCCATGCGAGATCAGGGGACGTTGTTTATTTTTAGAGACGCTGTTGCTATATTAAGATGTAGCCGCAATGCAGCCGTCTAAAAGAGGTATGAGCTTTATCGAGACATCAGTTCATGAACCCCCTCGACGAAGCTTTCGTCTCCTCCCCCTACCCTTTGGACTCTTGCTCTAATACAATGCTCTAACCCATTGGTTCCTTTTCCCCAGTGAAGAAGCCGTTCGCTTATCATACTTGTACAGATTCTGACAGCTTTGTTTCGTGTGGGACCCCCCCCCCCCCCCCGTCCTCGTAAGTTCATCTCATTCTTCTCCAAGGCGCCACAAAGGCAGAGCAGACACGCGGCTGCCTTGTTCCTTCCCCCCTCTAGCACGCGCCTACCAAGATGTCACAATGCATCCGGGACCTGCATGATCCTCTCATTTCCATTTTCGAGGCCGGGTCTGCGACCATGGGCGCTTCTGAGGTGCGTGGGGGGAAAAAAAGAGCCGAGGAGCAAACGCAAACACCCTTCGCCCCTCCATTAGAAGTCGTTTCCAAGCAGAAGCGCTCGGCTGCACAAGCTCGTCACGGCAGTTGTTTGTTTCATATTGTTTCTCTCTCTCTCTCTCGTCTTGCACAAGCGCTGTCGACGGGACCACCGGGGGGGGGGTGAAGGTTCGGCATCCGCTGACCTTTTCGTTGTTGCGGGTAATGGTGATTCATGCGCGCTGGTGCGCATATGTCGTTCGTTTGCTGCAAGTGAATTCACACAATCGCAGATGAATCTCGCTTCCCAGTTCCCCAGGGTTCTTATTCTTTCTACCCCGTCGAAGAAAACAGGGTCATCTCCCTGCCATTGATATTCATAGAAACAAGAAACAAGGTAATGGTGATGGAAATGGGCGCGTAGGAGCAAGGTACCGGTACGCAAGAGGTACTTGGAGAAGATCATTTCTTCTGCTTCTTCGTGCTCTTATCACTCACGGAGCTTAGCACACTGGCGCTCCGCTTGCGGGTGGTGACGCCGCTCTCTGGTTGACCGTCTTTCTCCTTATCCTTGTCCGCGTTAGTGTCGGTGTTTTGGTTCTTGTCCTCTGGTTCTTCGACGGATGGCTTGGCCGTTGCTTCATCAGATGGTGTTGCCTTTTCGCCTTCCTCCTCCTTCTCGCCGTCTCCAGGCTGAGCTTCGGCGCCATCGTCCTGGCCATTGTCTTTGGATGCTTCATCTGCCGCAGCCGTCTCGTCTTTAGCATCGCCATCAGCGTCCTCGGACTTGTCGGCTTCTTGTTGGCCCAGGGCCTTCTCTAATTCGGCCTTCTTGGCCAGTTCCAGCCTGATTTCTGCATCAATCTTGTCGTTAACCTTGCGAGCATCGAGAAGACTATTGACAGCCGCCAGAAGCTGCTCGAAGGCGGCAGTCGTTGCCGCCGTGGGCATGGCCAGCTTGGCCGGGACATCCAGCTCGTTAAGCGTGTTTGTGATGCGCAGCTGCTGCTGGTTGGACTTGTGGGAGAAGAGCTTGTTGATCTTCTCCGTCCGGAAGGTAGGGCCGGAGCCGAGACGGTCGTGGTGCGTGACGCCGTAGATGAGCTCCTCTTGCTCGGTGAGCTTCTTGCGCTCCTGCGGCTGAGCCTGTTGAGCCTGCTGCTGTTGCTGCGCCTGATGCTGCTGTTGCTGTTGCTGTTGCTGCTGCTGATGATGATGCTGCTGCTGGGCCTTCTTGTTCGAGGTGGACGCCGCTGTGGGCGCATTCGATTCGCGCGTGCCAGTAGAAGCCGCAGCGCTATCGCGTCTTCCGTTCTCCGGAGCCGCCTGCTGCGGCGTGGGCTGGCCCGATGGCGTGGGCGCCTCGCCACCCATGATGGACTTGCGCTTCTTGGACTTGTCCGCCGTCATCAAATTTTGGAGCAACGTCTGCAGACCGGCCGATGACTTGAACGTTGCGATGTCCTGCTCCGCATGCGGGTAGTCTAGGCGGTTGTAGAGCTCCCTCCGCTCCTCGTTGAACCTGTCACTCCTAGCCAAGATGCGCTTGATCTCCAGCAGAAGCGATTCCTCCTCGCGCGCCTCCTCGCGCGTCCTGCTCAGCGAATTGAGTGCAAATTCCTTGCGCAGCTTCTCCTGCTGGGGGTTGAAATGTGCCATGAGCTCGTGGAGCGCAAACTCGGGCTGCGTCATGTACTGGACTGGCTTCTGGACGGCCATCATCCTGGACGCCACCTCGTAATATCTCGCCTTGAGATCCTCCATCGACCGGGATCGCGTAGCTGGGACGATAGCCTTTCTCTCGTCGCCATCAGCGTCGGCCTCTCCATTGGTTGCCGGCGGGCTCCATTCGTATCGATCCCATATAAGGGGCCATCTGATATCGTAGTCCCGCACCAGCTCCATCAAGTAGTCCGTCTCCTCCTTGGTCCAGTCAGGGTTCTCCAGCACCTGGCGGTACTGGTCGTCGCTGTACTGCGGCACCGAGACCTGGACGTTGTACTTGGCGTACAGTGAATCCTCGATTTCCTCCTCCTCGTCCTTTGACCCCGTCGCGTTGCCCTCTCCCGCTTGCCTCTGCTTCCCGTCGTCGGCCCTCCTCCAGTGCTTCAGCAGCAGACTCCCATCTTTCCTGCCCGAATTGCGAAACGCTCGCAGCTCCCAGTGCGCGGCGGGCTTGCGGCTGACGAAGCGGCGCTTCTTGAACTGCGTCACCTCGGGAACAATGGCGATGGGGTTGTCACCGCCCAGGTTGTGCACTTCGCGCGCGAGGCCCTTGAGGTTGGGGCGCGGGGCGGCGACCTTTTGCTTCTTGGAGGGCCGCGGGCCGGCGGCGGCGCCGTCGGGGAGGTTGAGCACGTCGCGGACGTCGGAGGATGTCATGATGGACTTCGGGCGAGAGAGAGTTGGTATGGCGACGCAGGAAGAGGGTAGGCGAGCGATGTTTTTTTCTTTTCTTTTTTTTTCTGTTTATGCCGTCATCGCTCTGCTACTCTCTGTGCGAGGCAGCGAGATGGAGCGGCAGAGGAGTCAAGTGTTCGTTCGGTCGCAGTGTAGGATTCGGTCGGGCGATTGACAGGCGGTAATCGAGAAGTAGTCCGGGATCTCTATTTACTGGAAGCGAGTCCAGGCGACCGTCGAGGGGGATGCAAACACAGCACCCGAGATATGTTTTGATGGAGTCTCTATCTCTAGTATGGAGTAGCAGCAGCAGAGGCAGTTGCAAGGCTGATGGAGTTGAATTGAAGTTCTGCAAAAGCGCGTCTAGCCCGTCTTGAGGTGCACGTGACCCGCCTGACCAGCCTACAGACCCCTGGATTTACCTGAACGTGGCACCTTCGCCTCTTAGCGGGCTGGACGGCCGCAGTCGAGTACTATTGGCGGCAGGGAGACAAGATAGAACTACCGACCGCAATTGCGCTTCTCGCTTTACTCCACGACTCTGCCGGATCAATCAGGGCTTCAATTGGCGGATCGACGCGGCGGCCAGAGCATCTACTTGCATTCTATTTGATTGAGGAAGAAGCCAAAGAGAAGCAGCTTTCACGAGCTGAAGGACAACGTCGACAAGTCCCCCCCCACGCAAAGCCACCACCGAACAAGCTACGAGGCTACGGGCAGCAACGACAACGACGATGAGATCCCTCTTCACCCTGGCGACCTTTGTGGCCGCGGCTCAGGCCCTGTACTTTTACATCGACGGCGGCACGCCCAAGTGCTTCTACGAAGAGCTCCCCAAGGACACTCTGGTCGTGGGCCACTACTCGGCCGAGGAGTGGGATGACCGGGCCAACATGTGGCAGGAACACCAGGGCATCAGCATCTACATCACCGTCGACGTGCGTATTGAATATCCCCCCTTCCCCCGTGTCCGGAAGTGAAGAATAAAGCAGAGCTAACTGCCTCTCGGGGGGGGCCATTAGGAAGTCTTTGACAACAACCACCGCGTCGTCTCCCAGCGAGGCACCTCGTCCGGCCGCTTCACCTTCTCCGCCGCCGACGCGGGCGACCACAAGATCTGCTTCACGCCCTCGTCCAGCAGCGGCCGCCCCGGCTGGCTCTCCACCGCCAACCACAACGGCGGCATCCGCCTGCGCCTCGACATGGTCATTGGCGAGACGAACCAGATTGAGAGCGACGACAAGGACAAGCTGCAGGACATTACCTCTCGCGTCCGCGACCTCAACGCCCGGCTGAACGATATCCGCAGGGAGCAGGTTTTCCAGAGAGTCGGTGTTCCTCCTCCTCCTTCTTCCTTTACACTCCCTTCCTACCTTCCCTTCATAATCACCACATACATGCTAACAAGAAATCGTGTTGTTGTTGTGTAGGAGCGAGAAGCCGAATTCAGAGACCAGTCCGAATCGACAAACGCCCGCGTCGTCCGCTGGATCATCATCCAGCTCGTCGTCCTCGGCGCCACCTGCGCGTGGCAGCTCTCCCATCTGCGCTCATTCTTCATCAAGCAGAAGCTTACCTAAAGGCGTGACGAGACTAGTAATCGCGGAGCCGGGGAGGGAAACAAAGAGAAAGGGGGGGAGCGTTGTTGGTTTTGTTAGCTGTCTTGAAGGGAGGAGAGCGTGGGAGCCTCTTTGTGCAAAACAAAAATTATTGATATGGCGGGATCGAAACCAAAAGATGAATGAAATACAATTGCTTCAAGTCCCTGCAAATCGAAACTGCATGACCAACTTCCCTGTCATGCTGCGTTACTACAGGCGTAGTATGGAAAGAAATGGCTATAAACATTTGCGCACACAACTCCTACAGACGGGGCGTGTCAGGGCACATCAATAGGAGAACGAGGACATTGAAAATCGTCCATATACAGTAGTGATTATTGCAATAGGTTGACTCTGGTTTACATGTTTTGCTTGGGCTGTTTTTTTGCTGATTTTAATGTTGTTTTTTTGGACAATCCTAATTCCATTACAAGGTATACCGATGAATAACTCCCTACCTAATGACGGATCCCAAACTCTCAAAAGACATCTCCTCTCTCCCCTCGTTTCTCGTCCTCTCTCCCACCCCTTACAGAGCTCGCCGGATGCCGAATTGCCACTCCTTTCGACCTCATCTCTTCTATACACGTCCACGCCAGCTCGTCGCTCTCTTTCCTTCCCGCGTCTATCTCATTCTCTGCCGCTCCATGATTTCGCAAGGCTTATTATATAGACGGCGCAAATAGAGTAAAAAGCAAAGCACACACCTGGACCAGACCCAATGCTGCCCTTCGTGACCGTCCTGCGCCTTGCTGCGCTGCACATCGAAAGTGGTGTAGTATGGTGTCGTAATGGAATGTCAGACATGAGAGAAAAAAAAAAAAAGAGAAAGGACAAAAGAAAAGTAATAATATGAGAAGGAAAAGAACAACAGGCAAGAGAGGATAAGAAAAAGAAACACGCAAAAAAAAAGTCCAAACTAGAAATCAAGACCAGTATCCGTCTCTCGTTTTTGTTTTTTTACTCCTCTCTTCTCAACTCCTTCTCGGATGGTCGTAATGAACACGCGCTCCCATCAATGCCGCAGATCTTCTATTGAGTGGTAGGTGTGATGACATGGATGTGGTGAATGCATGGAGTAAATCGATTCGCTCTTGTTTCCAAGCCAGGGCGCCATCGCCTTGAACGGTCCATCGCCTCTTTTCCTCTGGTCCATCCTTCTGTGGCTCTCTGTCGCCATGTCCCGAGGGGGGATCGGCCAAGCCGCAGTCGCCCAGGTCCAGAGAGAACGAACAAGGCGGCCGTCACGCCAGCAAGTCAATTTTCTTTTTTTGTGTCTTTTGTTTTGCTTCAAAGGAATCAAATCTCCAGTAAAATTAAGAGGGGCGTCGACACAACTTGCCGGGGTACAACGTCGGAGCCATGCAGGGTACTTGGAAGAAAAGAAGAAAAGGAGAATCCCGGAAAAAGTCGTGAAAATGAAGAAACGCCGCTTTAGCCACAGCAGATGGTTTTCATGAACTTCTGGAAGCCGGTGGGCTGCTGTTGCTCGGCAGGTCGCGCGCTAGACTGGCCTGCGGTCGTCATGGGGCCCTGCTGGCTTGTTATCGGCTGAGGGAGGTTCTGGGCGCTGTTCTGGAACTGGGCCTGCGTTGAGCCAGTCGGGGTACCCATCTCGCGGAGGCCTGTTCCACTCATCCGCTGGGCTGGCAGTGCGCCTGGGGCGTTTGGCCGCTCTCTCTTGCTCCCCATCTGCTTGATCGGCGATGGAGGAGGGGGCTGCGCGGCGTTTAAACGGCTGACAGTGAGATTCTGAGCCTGCTGTTGAGAGGTGGTATTCCCAGGACGATGACCACTGTGCAGCTCCATTTGAGAAGGACCGGGGCGCGCGTTTGGGTTGTGCAAGTATGCTGCGCCATGATTCTTCATCGAGTCCCACCCCTTTCCCGAATCCTTGGTGATCTTCATCCAGTCGTACTCGCCATCCTCGACGTCGCCGGCGTTCTTGAGGGCCTGGGTGAAGAGCTCTCGAAGGTAATCGTAGTCGGGGGTGTCCTCGAAGCCCAGGTTGCGGACGTACGTCAGGTACTTGCTGAACTCCTCGGGGAAGCCTTCGCACAGATCCTTGATGGCAGTGGTCTGCTTCTTCTCTCCAATCTTTTCGTACTTTTGCTTGTTAGTAGCGGCCTTCAGGCCCTGCCAGGGAAGGCCGCCGCGGAGGAAGTACATGAAGACGTGACCGAGAGCCTCCAGATCGTCTCGACGAGACTGTTCGCGGCCAAGATGAGTGTTGATACTCATGTAACGGGCAGTGCCCGACAGCGACTTGCGCTCGCGGTAGGGAATGTGCTGCTTGGTCTTGGGGTCCCGGTACTGCTTCGCCATACCAAAGTCGACCACGTGAATGACATTGGACGCCTTGGTGCCGGGTCGTCCAATCAGGAAGTTGTCGGGCTTGATATCGCGGTAGATGAGGTTCTTTTCGTGTATCGTCTGGACTCGGGAAAGCATCTGCTTGGCGACCATGACGACCGTCTTGATGGTGAACCGGCGTCCGCAGTGGTCGAAGAGGTCCTCGAGTGAAGGTCCGAGCAGGTCAATGACGAGGATGTTGTGCAGACCCTCCTGTCCAAAGTAGTAGACATTGGGAATGCCGGCTAAAAAAGAAGCGCGCTCTCGCGTCAGTATCAGTCGTTCATGTCATTTGGGGGGGATTGAGGTTGTGGTTGTGGTTCAGTGTGGCTTACGGCAACCAACGAGAATTTTGTACGTGCGGTACTCATCTCGAAGCTGGGGTGCATCGCTTTTCCGAGGTTCCTGCGAGGCAGCAGTGTTAGTATCAATCAAGGGTAGAGTGATCGAAGAGATGGAGCTGGACAAGACGACGAGGCGCTTGATCGAAGCCAAGATGGACGCGCGTATTCTTCGTCTCTGCGTGACGTGTGGTACAGTGTGGCCGCAGTCGTGGGCTCTTGCTACTCACAAATTTGATGGCCACCTGCTGGTTGTTGAGCAGGTTGGTTCCCTCGAAAATGACACCAAAGGAACCCTCTCCAATCTTCTTGCCGACCCGGTAGTGGACGCCGACGACGTTTGACGACGAGGAAGCCATTGCGATGGTGGGCGAGGAGCAGCGTCGAGATGTCGAGGCAAGATGGCGGCGATGGGGGGAGGAGGTGAGGGCGAGAGACGGATCGTCGACTACTTCCGGTCGGGCGGACGGTCGAGCACGACGAGGCTCGGGAGCAACGAGAGCAGCCCCTGGACAGGGGGAGCGCGGATAATCAGAGGGCCGGCGGCGGGTGGGAAGAAGGGCCAAAAGGATACAAGAGCAAGCAAAAGGGTCAGCGGCGGCGTGAACTGGGCATTCCGGCGCGATGCTGGGACGGAGGCGGCGGCGGCGGGCGATGGGCGAGCGGATGGACCAGACGAGAGGAAGAG